TTTCCTAGCGCAGATTAGACGTGGCACAAAGCCGAAAATAATGGGCACCCAGTGAGGATCGAACTCACTATTCAGGCGTAATTGTTCAAGCGAGACAAGCTTGCAAGCTTTACACCGCCTGGAGATGCCCAACGTCCTATCACTTGTATCAGTAGTTTTTCTCTATCAAGTCACCCACTTTGCTGTCCACTGACCCATGCTGGTCAGGTAGATGACTCGCTATTCTCCCTGTCTACCTTACCTTTCAATATGCCCTGTGAGTGTTAAGTTTTCCAAACCTTCTTTCATCTTGAGTTTTCAGCTCTGAGAAGAACGGTTTTTTAATTATTCTTCTGTCAAACATGAACTTTCGTGCCCGCAGCCCCCATCAAAAAAAGAACCCCCCCCAAAAAAAAACAAAACAAAAAACAAAAAGAAAATAAAAAACAAAGTTTCAAAAGAACAGTTTTTCCCATGACACCGTTTTTATTTTAAATATTCCTCGGCAATTGTTTTGTCTTACGGCATATCACCTTCAATGGGTTATTTAATAATAGATTTTTTATTGTTGCAATATTTATTTTTCAAAAATAGATCGCTAGTAATTTTTTCAATATATATCTAGCAATTTATATATATATATATATATATATATATATATATATATATATATATATATATATATATTAGCAATTTATATATATATTTATATCTAGCAATTTATATATATATATCTAGCAATTTATATATATATATATATATCTAGTAATTTATATATATATATATATATATCTAGTAATTTATATATATATATATAGTATTTTTTTATATATATATATATAGTAATTTATATATACATATATATATATAGTAATTTATATATATATATATATATATATATATATATATCTAGTAATTTTATATATATATATATATATATATATCTAGTAATTTATATATACATATATGTCTAGTAATTTATATATATATATATATATATTATATATATATATATATAGGTAGTAATTTTTTTCGAAACATATTTGTTTCCAAAAATGTAACGCTGGTAATATTTTTTTCAAAAATTTATTGCTACCAGAATTTTTCTTTTTCAAAAATGGACTGCTGGTAATTATTTTTCCCAAAAAGTATTGCTGGTATTAAAACCCTATTACTTTTATAGTGTTTTATTTGCCCATAGCTGGGACCCTGACAAGTGCTACCACATCCGGATGAGGATGAACCTGGGAACACCAGCAATTAAGAGGTGGTTCCATGTTCCTCTAAACCTCCTGCTCAAAGGTCTTGCGGTCGGAAGTCGTTTATCGTCTTAACAAGGATGCGGATGTAGTTTATCTTCACATACCCAGGATGATGATAAATTTACCCCGGTAGTAGAGGTCTGATTACAGTGCAATGTGTTCCCAAGCGATCCACAATCTAAGTACTGACCTGGCTCCGGTGATCGAAAGATAACCGGTGTGTTCATCGTTATTTGACCGTAAGCGTATTTTTAGGTTTTATTCCAATTTTAATCATAGCTTTTTAAAACAGCAACCATTACCCATTGAGTGACGGTAGTTAAAATAAATGCAGAGTCAATGGAAAAACATCATTTTGACACTGCGTTTTTTTATTTTTGCGGGCACGACGGCCCATATTTTCAATAAGTATCCTTCTATAGAACCACAGATTGTGCAGCATTCATTGCAAGAGGAAAACGAAGGCATTCGACGAACTTAGGCACTACTTTGAGCTTGTGGTCCCATGACCACTGTCCAGGCACGACGCACGTCCGGCTACGGCAAACGAATGCCTTCGACGAACTTAGGCATTTAACGATTCTACGGGACATGTCTCTTAAGGCGCATTACGGGACTCCGGCTACGGCAAACGAATGCCTTCGACGAACTTAGGCATTTAACGATTCTACGGGACATGCCTCTTAAGGCGCATTACGGGAGTCCGGCTACGGCAAACGAAGGCCTTCGACGAACTTAGGCATTTAACGATTCTACGGGACTTACGCACATGCTTCTTAAGGCGCATTACGGGCGTCCGGCTACGGTAAACGAAGGGCTTCTACGGGAATTACGCACATGCCTCTTAAGGCGCATTACGGGAGTCCGGCTAGGGCAAACGAAGGCCTTCGACAAAACTACGCACTTTACGCACTTACCTTCTAAGGCGCACTACGGGAGTCCGGCTACGGTAAACGAAGGCATTCGACGAACTTAGGCATTTAACGATTCTACGGGACTTACGCACATGCCTCGCAATGCGCATTAATTTATTAAAGTGCATAACTGATTCAAACCGCAGATTTGCGAGTTCATTGAGATATCTTATTTGTTTTTTTTGTTTGGTTTGTTTTACGGTATATCAACACCTCAATGGGTTATTTAATAACAAAATTTTTATTGCTGGTAATATTTATTTTTCAAAAATGTATTGCTGGTAATATTTAAAAAAAAAATACTGTTGATAAAAACCTATTTTTATACTTTCATTGTGATTTAACCCCAGTTTGTGTGTGTGTGTGACAGGTTCTACCACTATGGGAGATTGTGAACCTGGGAACGCTAGCAATTAAGAGGTAGTTGCACGCTCCTCAAAACCATTCTGATCCTTGCTGTTGGATGTAGTTTATCATGTTACCCATGACGCGGATGTAGTTTGTCGTCATGCCCAGGACGATTGACTTGGCTTAGAAAAACTTTTTCGTCCGAGATAGTAGGGTCGGATTTTAAAACAACAAAAATGTTAATTTCACTAAGTTTTTCAGCAACAGAAAAATGTGAATGCAATCAAACAGAGGCAGGATTTAAGAAAATTTGGTTTATAACTCCAGATTCTAGAATCCGGATTGTCCCAGTGGATCAAAGCGTGGGTTCATGCATTTGGTGTCATAATTCAGAGTTCAATATTAGGGCAGGGTAGTAGAGGCTGCGACATAATAGAAACACAATATGTCTTTTTTTTCCCTTGGTTTTACTAGATTTTTTTGAAATCCTCACAGTATTTATTATCGTTGAAGCTATCGCTAAGATTTTTGGTTTAGTTTGATTTACGCATATCAACCTCAATGTTTTATTTAATGCCGACAAGATTTTTATTGCTGGTAATATTTTTCTGTAATGGTTTGTTTTCCTTAAAAAATCTATTTCTGGTAATATTTTTTCTTCAAAAAATATATAGTTGGTATGATTTAATTTTTTTTAACGTTTTACAGCATATCAATCTCAATGTTTTATTTAATGCCGACAAGATATTTTACTTCTGGTAATAATTTTTTTTATTTCTGTATTGCTGGCAATATTTTTTCTTCAAAACTTCATCGCTGTTAATATTTTTTCCAAAAATGTATTGCTGGTATTAAAACCTATTTTTACATTTTCATAGTGTTTTCGCCCCAGTTTGGGGGTTAAATATTTGCCCACAGCTGGGATCCTGACAGGTGCTACCACTTAAAAATCTCCTGATCAGACGCCTTGCTATTGGATGTAGTTTATCGTCATACCCAGGACACGGATACGTACTGGAGCGCTAATTTTTTTTTTTTTTTTTTGTCAGTGATAGAGGGGCTTCATTTGCTTTTATATATAGACTTTCCACCGGGGACGTACTGAAAGCGTCTAGTGTGTGTCTTATCCCTTGATGATGAACTGTCCATCCGAGAGACAATTTATTTTTTGCTACACCAGTGCGAACCCGAGAGCCTGACTATTGAGATAAACGCCGCAGATGCCCCTTCCGAGAGCTCTTCTGAAGAAGAGGCCGAGCCTGTCCCCCATCGGAGGAGTGTCTGTTACAAGAGGCCACGTCCGCCCTGCAGTTTGTGTGATGATAATGATTTCAGGAGGGAGTGTAGCGGGAATAATAACTTATCGGCTCAGCAGAGGAAGAGAACCTGGTTGCGTTTTGTCTGGCTGAATCGAACTTGGAACGTTCGGAATACAGAAAACAAGGTTTAAGCGTGATTTCAGACAACTCTTTCTAATTTTTTTGATGTATGAATGTCTTGCGGCAGCATAAATAAAACAACCAGAGTCACGTTTTGATCTGATAATTAACGCGTTCGGCGGAGGTGGGGGCGTATTCAACGTTTGATAATTTTGAAGCAATACGCACTTAAAGGTTTAACCAGTTTTGATCAACATTTCTTTTCATGGTTAGCCGTAAGGAATTGTAAATCTAGGACTTACCTTACGCTTAAGTAAAATAACGACAACAATATTTATTAAGAATTTATTACAGGAAATATCAAGTTTTACGGAGACATTGTTGACATTTATGTATTTAGTTACATAAGAAATAAAAAATTTGATGTGATATTCGATTTGTTGTTAGGTATTTTTCACTTTCTCTGTTTAGTTTGGTTGGTTTTACGGCATATCCATCTCAATGGGTTATTTAATGCCGACAAGATTTTTATTGCCGGTCATTTTTTTCCCCCAAAATGTATTGCTGGTAACATTTTTTTCTTAAAAAATTTATTGCTAATATTTTTTTTAAAAAAAAAAAAAAAAAAAATATATATAGTATAGCTGGTACTTTTTTTTTTTTTTTTTTTTTTTTACAAAAAGTATTTCTGGTATAAAAACCAATTTTTATACTTTCATAGTGTTTCGACCCGAGTTTATTAAGTTAACTATTTACCTATAGCTGGTACTCTGACAGTTACTACCACACCCAGTCCTCAAAAACCTGCTAATCAAAGGCCTTGCTGTAGGATGTAGTTTGTCTTACCCAGGACGGTAACAATTTTGGGTCAAGATTTACAAACCCAACGTTTCGTTCAATTTCGCAAACCAATAGTTTTTTAAATTTTCATAATTTTTTTGGTTTATTTTGTTTTACGTCATATCAAACCTTAATGTGTTATTTAATACCGTCAAGTGTTTTAGGATAGGTTTGGAATTTGGATGAATAGAATATTTATTCTTTGTCAGAAAACAATTTGTAGATTAGGTTTCATTGACGTAATGTTTAAAGAGTTTTTTTTTTTCGAGAATCAAATGTATTGGTGGTAATATTTTTTGTTTCAAAAATGTTTTGCTGGTAATATTTTTACTATAAAAAATTATTTTTATACTTTCATAGTATTTTGACTCCAGATTGGTGATATGTTGCTGCTAATAATTAAAAAAAAACAAAAAAAAAAAAGAGAAACAACAAAAAAACTATTGCTGGTAATATTTTTTCCTTAAAAATGTATAGCTGTTTAATTCTGGAAATATTTTTTTACAAAGTATTTCTGGTATTAAAACCTATTTTTACACTTTCATAGCGTTTTTTTTTTTTACACCAGTTTCGGGGTAAACTATTTGCCCATAGCTGGGACCCTAACAGGTACTACCACCCCAGGTCAGGGTGGACCTGGGAACACCAGCAATTAAGAGGTGGTTCCACATTCCTCGAAACCTCCTGATCAGAGGCCTTGCTGCTGGATGTAGTTTAACGTCATACCCAGGACGATTTTAAATAGGCTTTCAACGATTTGGATTGAGAGTCGTAATCTGACACTTAGGGTTCTAATCTACTTATCGTCTTCTCTCCCAAATCAGGAACCCTACAGAACGGCATAACACCCTCACACATTCAAGTAACTGTGGAGTAATCTTATCAAATTTTTATGTAATTGTTTTTTTTTTGTGTAGGATTCCTGTGAATATGTGGTATTTTGGTAAATGTCAGCATATCAACCTCAATGGGTCATTTAATGCCGACAATTTTTTTTTTCCTGGTAATATTTTTGCTTTGTCAAAAATCTATTTCTGATAATATTTTTTCTCAAAAATGTATAGCTGGTAATATTTTTTTTTCAAAAACGTACAGCTATGTCGGGTTGGGTGTAGAAGGATGTGTTCTTGTGGTGATTGAATAAAGTTGTAAGAATGAATGGGTCGTGAATCAGATTATCTTGATGTTGGATAGCCAGTGATAATCAGACTCCCCGCGAACTTGTACCACTATTGTATAATTTATACAATAAATAATCTTTTTGGTCTTTTGAGGTCTGGCTTTCAGATGTGGTTGCACATAGATAAGGAGCGCTGCCGACAAGGCGTGTTCGCTTCTTTGGTCCTCCTTTGACTTTTGAACTCTCACACACGCATATACACACACTTCTCTCTCTGTCACACACACACATTCTTATAACTTGTTTTAATGTTTTTTCCTTTCGTTACAATTGTCTACACATGTAATTCCTTTTTAAATTTTCGTTTGTTCTATATTTATGGTTACTCGTTTTTTACCTGGACTCTCAAAGAGTTGATTCCCTAAAACATAATGGTGACCAATATCTACCCAAACATACTAGCATCTGCAACAGATTCATGGAACAAGGGTTTGATTTTGTTTGGTTGATTTTGTTTAGCGGCATATCAACACCTCTATGGGTTATTTAATGCCGAAATATAGACTGTTCAAAATTAACCCAAGTATACATTTACTGGACTGCTATTACATGACAGTTCAATAGTCTTTACTCAAGTAAATAATGCTAATCTCTCATCGCAGAAATTCATACTGCAATTTTACTGTCTATTTACCCGGTTGTCTCGGCCAGACGTTTGTATTTACCCCCCCCCTACACGAGGTCAGGTTGTAATGCAAGGTTTGAAGTTTGTAATTGGGTTATTTGAGCTTTTGGTAACAATCGAAACTAGTGGAGTTTTGTTACGTGTGTAAAGTACTTCCAGTATTGGGAGTGTTACATTTAAAATTCCAGTCAAGGTGTCATTTTTTAGTTTGAATAGGACGAAGAAAAAAAAAAAACACAGACAAGTAGGAAGAAATATAAGTATGTTGAAATTTCCAAGTGTCAAACACACACGGATACCGAAAAAGAAAAACTTGACAAAAGACAATCCTTAGAGTTTAAATTCCATTCTACGTCATTAAGTTTATCTCCATTTGTCTGGGTTTTTGAAAGCATCGGATTTTTTAATTGTTGCAACTTTCCTGGCACGAGAAAGTAAGCTTATATCTTAGTTTGGTTGATTTTGTTTAGCGGTATATTAGCATCCCAATGGATTATTTAATACGGAAATGTAAATGATTTGAATGCAATTGCATGCCTTCAGCTAAATATACGAAGTGTCCTAAAAATTTGACATTATTCAAAATGCGAGTCTGAGTAAATACATGTTCCAGGTAAAGGATATATATATTATGTATAATACATATTTATATCATGTATAACTAGCAGCATAGCCCGGCGTTGTCCGTGCTTGATTCAAAAATCGTACGACTCATACAGCAATCGCTATCACTTGACTTAAAATATTTTTGCCCTT